ACGACATCTCGATGTTGATCCGCCACGTGCTCTGAATGAGCTAATATTAACCCATCGTCAATGTGGTTGAGTCGTGAAAGTGTGGGGTGAGAGTGCAAGGCCCAAGGAAGAACCGGTGTTGGTAGGCTTTTGCCCCCAAAAGCAAACCTCAGGAACTTCCTATGATGAGGAAGGATGGAGATATGTGCATCTTTTAGATCGATCGTGACACACCAGTCCTTGGACTTGGTCTGAGACACGACCTGTTTGAGTGCGAGCATGCTGAACTTCAGTCGCATGACTGAGCGATTCAATAGGCGCAGATCTAAAATAGGAAGCAACCCCCCATCCTTCTTCGGAAAAATTAAGTACCGGCTGTAGAACCCAAAGTCTGTCTCGTGCGGAGGGACCACCTCGATGGCCTCCTTCTTTAAGAGAGTAACTACTTCTTGTTCTAATACCAGAGCCTGCTCGGGACCCACTAGAGTGGGGAAGCCCCTTTGAATCGAGGCGGACGAGAAACGAACTGGATTCTGTAGCCTCTTTCTACAGTACGCAGGACCCATTGAGACATATTTGGAAGTAGATTCCACACTGATAAATAATCTACTAAGGGAATCAGTCTCTCAAGACTGATCTCTGGTGTGCCCAGAACGCCTAGAGCAGCTAGCTCAGTGGCCTGAAGCGGCGGACCGGCAGGGGACAGCCGTACTAGCTGCTCTAGAGACCTCCGTAGAGGTAGCGAGCCTCTTAGTACCGCTACGTTTCCGGGCGGTAACTGAGAGAAGCGCTCGCCGGAGACCGCTGCGCCCTGGAACACGGCAGGGTTGGCAGACCGACCTCCTGAGGGCACTGAGGAGAGACGGGCACCGTGTAATGCGGTGTGAACCTCTCTTCCCCAGAGTGAGGGCACTGAGGAGATACGGGCACCGTGTAATGCGGTTTACACCGCACTTCCCCAGAGGGAGTTGGCCCTCAAAAAGGCCTAGGCCTTAGGCGTCAGAACATTTACGACGAAGACTATCCAGCGAGAATGACGGTCCACAGACCCGCCTTCCACTGGCCTGGGAGCGCCATTCTGACTCTAGACTCTACGGAGTACGAGAAGTGAGGCCCCCAGAATGAGGGGCTGGAACACGTTAGGTTGGGACCGCTCCCGCCCAGCAGCCCCTGCTGACCGCCTCAACCTCCTCAGAAGAAGAGAGGTAAACGCGTGCTCTCACTCGAGAAAATTTTATCCCAAGAGTCCCTGTATATCTAACTTCTCATAGTCAGAAAAACTACTTCATTTTATTCCTCAGAATTAAATGCAATCAAACAACCAGACGAGTAAATACGGTCTGGTGTAGTAAGATTCACATCAAAAACTGAAATGATGTAATATATGCGTTGCCTAGGCAGCGCGCAAGCCGCTCAGTCACACAACCAACATCAATCTCCTCAGAGAAAGAGGGCTGCAGCACTCACTCAGAGGGGGAAGAACCGCAGCGCGGGCTTCCAAGCCTCGAGAACGAGCTCTAGATCTAGGGAACACGGGTGGAGATAGGAAGTGCCGTCTCCAACCCGTCTGCTCGATCTCAGTCGCCGCCATGCCTCAGCAGCAGCGGGACTGCA